TATTTCAAAGATCGAGTTCTTTCCTTTTGATTTGATCCACTTGTTTTCTGTGTCTCAGCACAGTGTTTTCTGTGTCTCGGCACAGTGTTTTCTGTGTCTCGGCACAGTGTTTTCTGTGTCTCAGCACAGTGTTTTCCTTGTCAACACGTCTTAACGCTGTTCTGTACATGTATTTTTTTCTATTTTATGTGGCTCATAGATTTTCAAGCATCATCAAGATCAAAGATACTTTTTCTTGATTTCTCAACCTAACACCATAATCGAATATTCTGACGTATTAAATGAATCTTCTGTAATTTTCTTTTTAAAAATCTCGATATCAAAGACCTGTACAATTAGGTATAATGGGACTTTTTAACTCCGCTCGTTTCATTTAAGTGCTAAGTTTTATATAGAACTTCGAACACAAAACGTGCGCGTTTAAACACTAATCTCGTAAAATTTACATAAATAGCTGGGAATGAACTGTAGAAATTGCATTATAATTGGTTTAAGAGATAATTAAGTAAAGAAAAAAATTAAGAAGGAATCTAAAATATTTTTATCTGGAATTTGAATGCACTAAGTCAGTGACAGTATACACTATACGTCCCTGACTAAGTTTATAAAAAAAGTATTTCAATACAAATGTTGCGGTTTATTATATATAAAATAAACGATTTGCACTTACAAGCATCTATATAAAGATTGGTAAAAACTTTAAATTAGTGATTAAGATTGTGTTTTCAGTGTGACGGTCTCCGATTCAACCCATCAGAGTTTGGATGAGCCGGGTGTTACGTTTTATAAAAACGTTATGCATTGTTGTTTTTTATCACACAATGTCTATACGAAGTCGCTCAGTATACGACGCGTGATGGGCGCGTAGTTTGACAACGTTAAATTTCTTCGCATGATATGAACGTCACAGGTGGAAAATGTTACTTTATTCGAGTGAATTTGGTATCAATGAGTTTTCAATTCTTAAATACAACTTCGCTAAAAAAATCGTACCTTTTTAAAACAAAATATAGAAATTAATTTTAGTAAGACACACCCGAAAACAAACTTTGGATCAATTCTAAATTCCTAAGTTTAAGATTTGCACTTTATCAGAATTATAAAATTTCGTTTGGGAATCCATATAAACAGGTTGCCACAGAGTCCTTATGTTTGGTGAGTATTCACTCTGTACTGTATCTCTAGCATCAATGCGGAACAAGGGACTTGTGCAAGTCTAACTATCATATCTCCAACAAAGTATGTTGTCTACACAGAAGAGCCAGATAAAACAAAAAGCACGCGCCAAAACCTTCCATATCATTATAAAATAACACAATACACATGACAGGCGTACTAAATGCATGACATTAGCGACAACATGCTGAATAATCAACTTCTGTCTCAGCATGGAGAGAAAAACCTGGGCTTAAAGCCCATTCCTGATGTCATATGTCTGCAATGGATGTCTGCAATCCCTCCCTGTTTCCCCCTTCCCGTATCCCTCTCCCCTTCCCTGTATGCCCCTACCCGTTCCCCGTACCCCCTCCCTTTATTCCCCTTCTTGTATGCCCCTCCCCGTATCCCCTCCCCGTATCCCTCTCCCCGTATCCCCTTCCCTATATCCCCCTCCCGTACCCCCTACCTGTATCCCCCCTCCCCGACAAGTCTCTTATCCACAAGTATCGTCTCGTATGTACATAATCTGTTCAAGCTTTGTTGACACGAAGTTCTTACATACCACATTATGTCTGTGTCGACAACTTGTTGGCGCGTTAACGTTAGATGTATGTAGTGCATAGTGTTACGACTACTTGACGAAGTATCCGAGTTCCGTCAATATTTGCTTCTCAGCACAATAGCGAAACCAGCGGAAAAGCCTCGCCCGGCTCAACACCGCTCTCTTTATATTCAATTCACTTATTTTAATGTTTTCGTCAACAAAACTTGTTTGAAGTGGGACATTGGTGTTAGGATTTCACTTTAGGATCAAAGTTTAATCATAAAAGTATACATCTCATGTATGCGAGGGTCTGAAGTACAAGACCTATGAAAATGATCAAAAATGTAACTCAGAGGTAAAAATGTATTAGGAGCCATGGGTTTTGAAATCGACAAACTGGCGTTGACTAAAACCTATCATTACGTGAAATGGACAATGACTGACACAAACCGGTCGGAAACTGACAATAACATGAGCCAATGTCATTTGAAATGGACAACACTCCTTCAAAATAACACAAAACAATGGAAATTGACAGTATATTGATACATGTCTCAGTGAAATGGACAATGACTGACACAGACCGATTTGAACCAGGTAATATTTTAACCCGAGTGTTATTATGAGATACACATTTCATTGACACCAACCAATTTGAACTAGATGACATGTTGACATCAATAATAGTATGAAGTTGACAATACCAAGGCACAATTGACACCAATTCAGGCATGTCCAGCAAATGGAAAGAACATTGGCACGAATCTGTTTGAAATTGACAGAATTTTGAAACCTAATTAACAACACGCTGATTACTTGGCATTAAAGAAACCGACAGAACCTAACACAAGACTATTCATTAATCAGTAACTTTACACAAAATAATAGTTTGAGACAAGCCTATGTTTCTAACACAAGCATATTAGAAATATAATATATCTTTACACAAATGTATCTGAAATTGATCATATCCAGACAAATACCGCAACATCATTGAAAATAACCCAATATCCCGTGAACTAGACAATATCCCGTTGAACTAGACAATATCCCGTGAACTAGACAATATCCCGTGAACTAGACAATATCCCGACATTAATGATATTTCATTTATCTTTTATTGAGCAATATACAATCACACATACATAGATAAGTAAAACGGTAGTGTTTTACGTACCTAATGTAACACTCGTTTTTTAAGTCACAAGCATATCAAATGAAAACATGCAATGGAAAAAAATAAAGGGGACACAAGCCATGTAACCAAAGTAATACCTGCTATAGAAGTAAAGCCTCTATGTACATCTGATCCCGGAGAGCAGGAACAGGAAGGATGATGACAAATGTCACGCACGTGCATTGATTACGCGTTCGGTATTAGATGCAGGAATAAACACAGTGTGTTGTTGATGAAGGCCTTATAATTAAGGCTTAGATCGTCCAATGAGCACAAACAAAATAGCCTATCTACAACCGTGTCTGGTTGTGTACTGCATAAAGCTTTACCAAGCTGACTTTAAATGTAAAGTGTTATTCCACATTTCTACTGTATGCATGTATTCAAAAGTTATTTTTCCTACTGAAATCATGTCATTTCATCTGGTGGAAATAGACAACCATAGATGATGGACCTTTTTAGGAAGTTAGATATAATTCCCAGACCTCTTGATGGAAATCATTGTATCGTGACCGACAGAGCAATGGATAAGCTCTCTACTTTAAAGCTCAGCGGTCCAGGAAATATGAAACTATAAGTAATGAGTACACATGTATTTCTTTCGTATGTTACTCTTTTTTATATAAAATGACGAGCAATCTCTAAGAAGAAAAAAATTGGAATTCTTCTTCAAATGAGATACAGCGTTTCAGAAATTAAAGAAAAATGTTTCCAGTACAACGAATATTCATGTAGCATAATATGAAAACAATAAATTTCAATGGAACTTAAGAAAATTAAGGAAAAGGCGAACGCTATGTCAAGTGCTCCTTTTGGCTCATCTACGACATCGAACAAAATATACGAACATATTTGGTAACAAACTAGGTTATATCTAAGCAGTATAAAAGACACGACTTTATGTTAGTAATATCATCAGAACATTCAGTAATATATGTGATTTATGTGATTTAATTCTCCACATGAGTACTTCAAGGAGCTCCCATCAGTACTAAGTTATTGCTGAAATAGTTCAATGTTGTTTAACAAAGATATCTATATATATATGTGTATATAAACCGCTGAGCTGACTGACCACTTGGATTTTAGCATTGGGATGGATACCTCTTGTATTGTATTCTAACTCCACACTTCGCTTTTACAAGGCATTTTGATACTCTTTGAGTCGGTTTAGTCGTATCATACGCTAAGGAAATGGTAATTAATCGTCGATTCGAATTCACAAGCGTTTTCCTGAGTACGACTGTTGCAGACAAAGTCTTGGTCGCGTTTTGAAATAGAACGTGGCATAGCGAAAAGAAACGGAACAATGAAAAATAGGTCAGTTTAAAACACACAGTCACCTTGACCTTTGACCGTGACCTGTTGGTTTCGAAAGGAAATTTAAATCTAACCTTTTTCCTTGAATTAATATATATTTATTTCATTTTATTGAACAAAAATAAACACACGAAAGCCTGCAATAACAATATTCGGTGACCATTGAAAGTTGTAGCAGTTAGCCTAAGGCTTCTACAAATAATCTTAATATTGAATGAAACTGAATTTATCAAACACTCTTGATACTATTCCTGTTAACAGTTTTTGTTTGAACTAAGAATCCTATATTTAACTTATAACAAGTTTTTATTTCCTTATTTTATAGATATGTACACATGCATTGAGCCAATAACATCCGGAAACTAACACTCGATTGGTGTGCATTGTCGCTTGTGAATAATAGCCGAGAAGTACTCTTACTAAATTGCATGAGATCATCTGCCTGATTTGGTAGTTTGCTGGGTAAGGGAGGTTACGGGGTATATAGTTACTGGAAAAGTCTTAAAACTTTCTTTCTCATATACCCCTTTGTCACCTGTGTTTAATATATTATCATTTGTTTAATAACTGGGAAAACAAGTATAAACACATATACCAGACACAATCCTCCCCTCCTGTATTTTTTATATTTATTTGTTACCCTAAACGGAAACTAAATAAAATGTTTAAATAGGCGGTACCCACTACTTCTCTGAATCCTACTGGTTCTGTTATATCTGAAAATAGACAAATTAAAAACTCAAAACATTCTAAAACAAATATAGACATACATGTATATATCCGGTTTACGAGAACACCTACCGCCTGTCACAGTCGCAATGAAGAATGGCGTGGAAGCGATAGTTGAAATAATTGTGTTTTGTGGAGAAACAAGGGATGATATCCTGGCAACAGTCGTGATCTCGACAACAGACATCTGCCTCTTGGTCATCGCCGAGTTCGTCGTACTTCTTGGCAATCTGACCACGCCCACACCACTTGGTGCCCGGAAAGATCAGGTATTTGTTAAAGAAAGATCTTTTACGTCTCTCGTGATTTTCCGGAAGTGCCTCTGCGTCGTCGCGACTGAAATAGGTCGATGACGTCGCAGATCTCGCTGTTCTCCGCGAATTGAATTTTGAAACACTTCCGGAAGAAGATTTGTTAGCAAATTTCTGACGTTTTTCCGATACAACATTAGAATCTAAATACGTCACTTCCGGTGAATTACCACCACGTGCGGTAGACAGGGTACCATCCAGGGCGGCATCATCCGTCGTATCGAAATACGCTTTCCGGAAGTCAATATCATCCGGGTTATTGCGATTTCGTCTCCTCTGAATTCGTTTCAAATGTCGAACATATTTATGACATTTTCTAATTTCTGTATATATTTTCACCATATCCTTAAATTCTCCTAATTTCTGGCGACTTTTGAATCCTTTTATTGCATATTGGGTTTTTTCATTTTCGACTGTGTTGTAAAATCTGAACACATCGCCTTGATTGTTTCTTTGGAAAAGATGCTTTTTAAGCGTGAACTCATTAACAAATTCCAGAACCATTTGGGCGCTGTCCCCGAAATCACAATCCTTTAGAACGCCATCTTGATATACACTCTGAATGATTTGTTTTCCATCACTTACTCGTTTGAAATGCATTTTGTTTGGGGTGTTCTCGAAAGCAACGGTCTCCAGCACCAGTACACCTCTATAGGCGATCCGTAACTCCTTTTCCATTTCATCATTGTAACTTACTAAGATGAAGTTTCTACCCAGTGACTTGGTGTCGCGGGCCAGCTCCTCGTCCGAGATTTCGCGAGAACACCCGCCACAAAGCACCGCGAAGAAAAAAAGCACGGTAACTCCGTTGTGAGAAGGCATATTCCTACATTGCACGAAAACGCCCAGGAAATACACAGAAACTAGTCCTGATCTCGGTCACTGAAATATTGATGGAGAATTGTTCGAGCTCTGTACTGAGAGATAGACAGTCACACCTCGACCGTGAATTAAAGTAACGCTGTATACCAGTGAGCTGAGAGTGATGTTTCTATACACACAGATAGTGGGACGGCGTGCTCGGTGTGAGCCCGACGGAGGCGCGCGGTCGACTGCCGATACACACGACAGCGAGTCCTATAAAATAGTACCGGCGTACTTGGCTATAGCTAGACACGGCCCACTTCACCCGGCTAGCGTCTCTTTATAAAAAAAAGGACATGAATTGGACTGTTGGAAATGTTACCTAATGGTCAATTTGACCAGTGGCGTATGCTTTACAGAAATGGTCATTTTGTCAGTTGTATAACTTAATCTCAGGAGATTAGGATTTGTCGATAATGTTACGTACGTCTGTGTCCACTCGACCGGCGACATAATTTAAAGTTGGTCAGTTGGAAATATCATGAATATATTCAGATAAAGATAAGAGGTATGGTCATCTTGACGCATTTTTTTTAATTGGCAAGAAATGCACTCGTTTGTAGTGTTTAGTATAACTATCCCCATCTGACAACTCGTTTGTAGTGTTTTGTATAATTATCCCCATCTGACCACACGTTTGTAGTGTTTAGTATAACTATCCCCATCTGACCACTCGTTTGTAGTGTTTAGTATAACTATCCCCATCTGACCACTCGTTTGTAGTGTTTAGTATAACTATCCCCATCTGACCACTCGTTTGTAGTGTTTAGTATAACTATCCCCATCTGACCACTCGTTTGTAGTGTTTAGTATAACTATCCCCATCTGACCACTCGTTTGTAGTGTTTAGTATAACTATCCCCATCTGACCACTCGTTTGTAGTGTTTAGTATAACTATCCCCATCTGACCACTCGTTTGTAGTGTTTAGTATAACTATCCCCATCTGACCACTCGTTTGTAGTGTTTAGTATAACTATCCCCATCTGACCACTCGTTTGTAGTGTTTAGTATAACTATCCCCATCTGACCACTCGTTTGTAGTGTTTAGTATAACTATCCCCATCTGACCACTCGTTTGTAGTGTTTAGTATAACTATCCCCATCTGACCACTCGTTTGTAGTGTTTAGTATAACTATCCCCATCTGACCACTCGTTTGTAGTGTTTAGTATAACTATCCCCATCTGACCACTCGTTTGTAGTGTTTAGTATAACTATCCCCATCTGACCACTCGTTTGTAGTGTTTAGTATAACTATCCCCATCTGACCACTCGTTTGTAGTGTTTAGTATAACTATCCCCATCTGACCACTCGTTTGTAGTGTTTAGTATAACTATCCCCATCTGACCACTCGTTTGTAGTGTTTAGTATAACTATCCCCATCTGACCACTCGTTTGTAGTGTTTAGTATAACTATCCCCATCTGACCACTCGTTTGTAGTGTTTAGTATAATTATCCCCATCTGACCACTCGTTTGTAGTGTTTAGTATAACTATCCCCATCTGACCACTCGTTACTTCATAAATGAATTGGACAGTTGGTCAGTCGGTAATAACATGTTGTTTAGTGATTTTTACCTGACGATCAGTTGCGATTGAAAACGTTATCGATCAAAACTGTCCATAACGTAAGAAAAGATGAACTTTCCAACTGACCAATTGACCAACTCCTAACGAGCTGACGAATTACTGATTCTGAACAGATCAGTCAATTTGACAATATTAACGTGATCATAAAACAGTCAGATTGACCGTTTGGCCAGTAATATAACGTACTCTGCGGAACGCAACATTGCCTAAAAAATAGTTAGTTGGTCTGTTCGGCAAGCAAACACGTCTATTTATTTGTTAAGGTTTGGTCAGTAAGTGGCTGCAGGTATCGGCAGCTGGTCAGTTTGACGTGTAGCGTATTATAAAGGTCAGCTCGACCGTATCGAATGGTATACAATGTTATGTATATCGTACCACGGTGACACACGTACATCAAAGCTTTTATCAACCTTTAAAATATTTATTATCTCACTGTTTCTCACACCTGGTGCTATAAATAAAAAATCAAGAAAAGCACATTTAAAAAATTGCCAGAGGCAAAATTTCAGTAAAACAGCTGCATTAAAGGCGATTGTTTGATATATTTTTTAGGCTTATACCACCAAGCTACCATTAAGACCCACCTGGTGTATGAGCCGTGGAGTTCGAACTTCCACCGGTTCATATTAAAGGGCAAACTGTGAACCCCAAATAGAGCTTTTACCTGAGAAATTCTACACTTTGTCAATAATTAACACCAGGAATTAGAAAACGGTTATTTTTTCATGCGACGTGACAAAAAAACGGGACTGCGTTGTAATACGATTCTGCGGGGCTATTCAATAAGACGCGAGTTAAATGTACGACCCGCCTTCACCCGTATCCTCCATACTGACGGGTTCTCGTTGTAGTTCAGTAATTACGGAACTCAAATTATAAGATAGCATGGCGATTTGTCATCCGGATTCCATAACATCGCCGAACAAAACATGTGTTATTCGGGAAAATAGTTACAGGTAAAACGATTTTAATTAGCCCTGGCATCCCGTATATTTGTTTATTGTAGTCGCGGGTTTGCGGCACTTTGCACTAATGGCCCCATATTACATATCTCCAGACGGAGAAAAAATGTTAAGGTGCACAGATACGTGTACTTAACATGTGTCTCCAGTACAGCTATCATGAGTAATAGTAATATATGTATAGGTCGTGTATATGGTATCTGGAGCGGCGATACGGTACATATCGCGATGATTGGCACTGTAAAGTGGTCGCGATGATTGGCACTGTAAAATGGTCGCGATGATTGGCACTGTAAAATGGTCGCGATGATTGGCACTGTAAAATGGTCGCGATGATTGGCACTGTAAAATGGTCGCGATGATTGGCACTGTACATGGTTGCAATGATTGGCACTGTAAAATGGTCGCAATGATTGGCACTGTAAAATGGTCGCGATGATTGGCACTGTAAAATAGTTGCTATGATTGGCACTGTAAAATGGTCGCGATGATTGGCACTGTAGAGTAGTCGAAGTCGCAATCTTGAAACGCACCTTCTGCAGTTTGCAATCGCTCTTGTACTAGCGCGGCTCTGTGCGAGATGTCGGTTCTAACGCGGTCTTGTGATACAATGTGTCTATCGAAACTCTACGAACGTTAATAGTGTATGGCCTAGCGTGGTCCAATGAGAACTACAAAATCCTGGCGCGGTCAAATGAGAAGGGCCTAGTGTGGCCCACTGAAAACTACAAGGGCCTGACGCGTTCCAATGAGAAGGGCCTAGTGCGGCCCACTGAGAACTGCAAGGGCTTGGCGCGTTTCGCGATACAATAGTAATATACGACAAAGCGCGGTTCGCGTTCGTATACGGACTTAGGATTCGTAACGAAGGCAAAGTAGGTTTTGACGACTGTGGGTACTACCAGATTACAACAGCTAGTGTTCGGCGTTGTTCGAGACTTCGATTATCAAACTAATTTGGGTATTATACGAGTCCTTACTCGGCTTCAGTTGTATTATATATATACATGGTTTTACTTAGTACCAGCACATACAGGATACTTAGTAAATCATATATTTCTGTACCTCAAAGTCCATTACACAATATCACACAGACATTTGTTTATAGATAAAAGTAAAGTGCTCAATTTATCATAAAAATATCCAACCAGCAAATACATATATTTATTGTTATTTATCTGATATTGTCGTGATGTGTATACATTTTACACTGATTACAGGTGTGATAAAACCTACAGGTGTGTTGGAGCATTGATTGAGTTTAAGCTCTGACCCAGACCTTACACAGATGTCTGTATATATGTCTCAATTCTAAATCAGCTCACCCGTAAATAGGACACGTTTTTTAAAAGTTTTTAAATTCCTCTGATATGCATCGTTGTTGTTTTGCCTCCGGGCGCTGTCCGTACGGTATCGTACATAATAACGTACCTTGTGTTACCTAGCGCTTGTGTTAGTTTGAGATTGAATAAGAGTATTTAGCCTCATATGGAACGCCAAACCGCCTTACTCTTCTTACATATACGTACGCGTTGAAGTGGGCGGAAAGGATGAGAGTGGCGCACATGATGAAGAAATCGACCAATATTCAATACCAAGCACAAAAAAAGACCTTGATTAGAAAGGAATTTGTACAACACGAATTAAAATCGGAGACAGAAATGATTCTTCGGGGGGAATTCATCAAATAAAACGACCAATACATAAAACTCTTCCAGGAAAATTAACAACTTAGCGACCAATGTAAATACAGGTTTGTTTGATTCCCTTTTGCGTTCGGTTTGGTTTGGTTTGATTGTGTTTTACGTCCTATTAACAGCTATGGTCATTTAAGGACGTGCCAGGCTTTTTGTGGTGGAGGAAATCCGGAGTTCCTGGAGAAAAACCACTGACCTACGTCCAGTACTACAAGTGAGATTATATAAGGACGAATATGTCATAACCAAGGGAATATGTACCAATGTGGCAGAGTAAGTATTTGCACAGCCGTGAGGTCAAGGGCGCTGAAACCCGGATGTGGTATTTTTGGAAATTTTTGACGATCACTACACCAACGACAGCAAGAGCGGATGGGTGGCGCAGTGGAGAGCGTACTCGTCTTTCACCAAGACGTCCGGGGTTTAAAAGGCCAATCTCAACGGGGAGTTGTCGTTCCTCACAAAGAACGACAACTCTGGGTATAGATTGGCGAACAGGTTTTTGGTCGCAGACTACGTGAGTTTTCGGGGAACTCCGGCTTACTCCCACATAAGATCTCCTGTGCTCTACCGTCTAGACGAACAATAATCATTAATATAAGTTGATAGGGCTCGTTTCGCAATTTTTGTAAAATACATAACATTTCAAAATAACTGAACAAAATGATGAACAAACTGAAGAAAGAGCTAGATAATGTGAGTGGTTGACAAAATTAGGCATTGCTATGACAAAGCCATAACCGAATACAATAACAAAGGCGTTCCTTTTAGTAATACAAAATAATGAAACTGACAAAGCAGGACAATATTGAACCAATGTAAGGACAATAGTGCCCGATGTATAGGGACATTGGCACCAGTAGTATAAGGACAAAATTGAACCAATACAGGGACAATAGTGCCGGATGTATAGGAACATTGGCTCCAGTAGTATAAGGAC